ATCGAGGGCTGGGTTTGATCTCGTTGAGACTAGTGCGGACGAGAAATACCATCTTAATGTTACAGTCTTCTAGCATCTCAGATCCCCGAGTTGCGTAGCTGCAAAAAACGCATAAGAACAGAGAGGAGTTGTGTGGGTGTGGGACAGTTATTAAAAAATTCAACTAACTGATACGTAAATCTTAAGTTGTGCCCTCGGTCCTTACCTCCAGAACTCCGTTGGATCAAGCATAGCCGGAAGGAATTATTTAGCATATTAAGCGGATGCTCCCAGTAACCTTTATAATTCCACCGCACTGCGAAAACATTAACAAAATTTTAATAATCACGCTAACCAGTGACTTTCGTTCGTTTTTTGAAACGTTTCAGAAAATTGCCATAGTTATCATAGTCGTAATATGAAATCGTTGTCTCAGGTGTTGGCGTTTTCACTTCGAGGACAGTCTTGTCTGGTGTCGATGCAGTTCTTTTAGCTGTCGCTGTTGAATTCTGCATCACCAGTGTCATTGTTGAATTCCGAATCGCCAATGCCGCTGTTGAATTCCGAGTTGCCGATGTCGTTGTTGAGTTTCGCATCGCCGATGTCGCTTCTGGATTCCGCGTCGCCGTTGTCGTTGCGTTTTGCCTTGGCGTCTCTAAACATTTCGAAACTCCATATTATTTTACTGCGTTTCGAGAAAAAGACCCACTTTGGAACGCACAGGCTTCCCGCACGATCATGCGTTTTTGCACCAGACTTGAAGTAGTCAGATCATTAACTGCATGGACAGCTGTTGCTTTACACTCACCTTTCACGCTCACTAGCGTAAATCACCATAAATTTTGCATAGAGTACATGAACAATTTCCACTTAACAGTCGTTCTTTGAAAGTGACCTAGCTTTTCAGTGAGCACTTTTTTCGCCAAAACTTTTAAGTGCCCATGCGTGAGAATCACGCATACTTGAAGGAGAAATTTCAAATATTTAAGTTGTACTTGGACAAGGGACATTATCCTAAAATTTCACCTTTGTAGCTTTTCTGGTCTCCGAGTTAGTAATTTTTTCGCAAAACTTTCAAATGCCTGTACAAAAGCAGCATGCGTATCGCAGAGCTGAATTTGCAGTCTTTAAGTTATAGGTGGTCGGAGAAAATACCCTCAAAATTTCAGCTTTCCTGCTCTTTTGGTTACAGAATCAGCAAATTTTTCCTAAATTTTTCGCGTGCCTATACGTGAGAACCACGAATGCCTGGGGGCTGAGTTTAAAATCGTTGGCTCACACATGCATAGCAAATATCCCTACAAAGATTCAGCCTCTTATCTTGTCTGGTTTCCGAGGTCACGTTCCCGTCAAAAAATTTGCATATTTTTTCATGATTCCACATGCAGCACCCAGGTTTAAGCGGGCAATGATATAATAAATAGCGGCGTGCACCAGGGCGGCCGGTGCGATCATGCGTTTTGTGCAATTTCGTTCACCCCGAACGATTGCCTGCTAATGATTTTCACTACTTTGCATTTTGGTCTGTGCAAAAAGTAGCTGAAATATTGTCTGGTTCTCAATTAGGATTAGAGAGAAAATATGAGCAAAAAATGATGGAAGGGTCTTAAAGAATTATTAAAGTAGGCAAGAAATGTTTCGGTCCATTATGTCGTATACACTTCTTACCTTTACCACAATTGGACCTAGTGGGAAGTTGCGGAATTTCTCACTAAAAATTTCACGCACACGGGATAATTTCCCTGTCAAAACTTTCACGGGGCTGTACGTGGTACCCAGAGGTGCGTGAAGGCTGAGTCCAAATTGCGAGGTCGTACGTATGTAGAGGAGATCACCCTAAAATTTCAGATTCTCAATTTCCGCGGTCCCAGAGATAATAATTATCCTCGTCGAAACTTCCACGGAGTCGTCGGTAATACTCGGACGCCCGGGAAACTGGATTTAAAATTGCAGAACTGTATGTGGACAGAAGACATTGCCATAAAATTTCAGCTTCCTGGGTTTTATGTTTCCCGAGATAATAATTTTCCCGCCAAAATTTTTACGGAGCCATAGAGGTGATACCCGAGAGGTGAATTTGCGAGGTCACACGTAGATAGGGGGTCATTACTCCGAAATTTTAGCTTCCTGGATTCAGTGGTTCCCGAGATAATAATTTACCCGCCAAAAAATTTTCACTGGGCCGTAGGTGATATCTAAGTGCGCGGGAACGCTGAATTTGAATAGGCAAGGTCGAGCGTGGATAGGGGGTCGTGCCCACAAAATTTCAGCCTTCTAGCTCCCGTAATTTCCGTGATAATAATTTAATCCGCCTAAATTTTTACAGGGCCGTA